TGTGGCTACACCACATTAATGTTTGAATCATCACAAAGATTTAAATTCTAGGAGTGTTTCAATGAGTAAGTGTGATTACATGCACAGTTTTAATGTGGTTTTGCATAGTCAAACTACAGTCTTCATCTCTCTGTCTAAATATACATGACACTGCATCATTGAATATTTGAAGGATTAAATACAATATACCGTTGTTACTTCTGTCTTTTAGTCTAAGTGTACATGGGGATAACTGTAGTCTGATTAACATGTATACATGCTGGACAAAGCAAAGAACAATCGCAGTATGTACTGTAGGTCTGTTATTGTTTGAGTTTGACTCAAAATCTACTTGACTTTAAAATGCATGTAAATGCACTTGTCAAGTCATTTTTATTTGCATGGCACTGTTTACAATATACCTTCTTTCAAAGCAGCTTCACACACCATTGTGCCTTTTCACACACTTTTGTTTCAGCCTCGGTCATTTATTTAAACTGTGTATTTAGGACTGATCTCATGATTTGTAATGTTACACCAAATCTATTAAAGGAATAGTTCACCCAAAAATGAAAATTCTGTCATCATTTACTCATTCTTATGTCGTTCCAAACTTGTATGCCTTTCTTTCTTCTGTGAAACATAAAAGAATATATTTTGAAAAATGTTGGTAACTAAACAGACAGTATTGGTGAGCGTTGACTTACTACATTGTATGGACAAAAAACACAGACATTTCTAAAAAAAAATAAAATAAAAAATGTTCCACAGAAGAAAGTAAGTCATATAGGTTTGGATTTACAGTGCATAGAAAAGAATGCCCCCCCCCCTTAAAATAATCACATTTTGTTGCTTTGCAGCCTGAAATGATGACGGACATAGTTTTTGTTTTATCCAGCTGTATTTTACAACTTATAACATCCAAGTGAAAGATATAACACCAACATGTCAGAAAAAAAAAAATTATAAAATAAAAAACAATCATTGAGTTGGAAAAAGGATCACCCACTCGTGTCAGTATTTTGTTGAACCACCTTTTGCTTTAATTACAGCCTTTAGTCAGTTGGGATATGTCTCTACTAACTTGGTATTATATCTTTCACTTATATGTTATAAGTTGCACAGAGTAAATACAGCTGGATAAAACAAAACTGGGTCCGTCTTCATTTCAGGCTGCAACAAAATGTAATTATTTTAAAGGGGTGTGATTCTTTTCTATACCCACTGTACATGAGAGTGAATAAATGGTGACATAATTTTCATTTTTGGGCTATCCCTTTAATGAGGATGAATCTAATGTGTAGCCTAATCTGTGCTGTACATACATTTCTTCACAATTACACTGTTAAGCCTATTGTTCTCCTGAAGCAATTCATTTTATAAGTGGATAGTAAATGCAGTTTATGTATGGTAAATTAGTTTAAAAATAACAGACACACACAACTCACAGTTTCTTTTAAAACACTATCTCCCCAATGTCCAAAGCCACAGAATTCTAAAATATGCAAAAGAAAATAATATGCTTTTATTTATTAAAATCTGTGCAATCCTGGCTAAATCAGTCTCAAAAGTTTCTTAATCAGTTCTGTTCGGGAGTTAACGCTGGGCAAATTACTTCAGGGAAATCAGAGACAGCGTAGTGTGAAGAGTTTGGCTCTGGAAGGCCTGAAAGCGAAGGACCAAGCACACCTGATGATTGGTGCCAAGCATTTATACCAGCAGGTAATTCGCTGGCCTCCAGGTGCTCCATTGCGGGTCCTTGTAGCTGCTGAAGACCTATCTGGTTTCACTTTCCCTGGTGACTGTTTCACGGAGGGTTACAGTTCTCTTTGAAGGTCTGCCCCCTTTTCTGAGGGGGAGCTTTGGTAAAATAACACCAACTAACATCTTTTGTGTGGCCCCAGCTCTTGAACAAAAAAAGCACTGTTTTCGGGACCAACTTAAAGTCTCCATTTTCGATTTTTTAAAGAGATTAAATCAAATAAAAACCTAAAAACGATAAAATAACAAAACTTTATTTTAAGAAATGTATCCACTAGAGGATGGAGTTGTTGTACTGTATAAAACGGCCCCATGTAAAGCTGGATTATCTCCTGCAAATTTGCCATTAACTGTAAAAGCATGTTAAGTTAAACAGATCACCATACAGATGACTTAGATATGTGTGTCGCTGAGATGCATTAGCGACAGCTGTTTTTCTCATCTAAACTGCTTTGTCCACACTCATGCCTAGAAGACCATGCATTCCCTTCTCTGCTTGGCAGCGCACAAGGAACTGAGAAAAATGGGGAAAACATGGACCAAGTACTTATTTTCTTAAGGTCAGCAATTTACAGACTACATCCCACCTGTCTGCCCATTAGCTATCAAGGATGCAGACAACACGCTCTGACAGTGAACAACAAGAGCAGACTGAAAGCACAGACTTAAAAAGAAAGAGGAAAAAGTGACCTAAGAATTTACTAAGAAACTTCCTATGATTCAGTCTCTCACTACATGGCCTTTTATTTGGCAGAAGCACTTGAAAAGCATTGACACCCCTCAGTTGATCTTGTCAAATTTACTTAAGCTGCAGTCAGTCATTTAGTCCTACAGGGAAATCAACAAATTAGATTTGCTTTACTCACCAATGCAGTTACAGCCTACACTGTTTTTTGAGACAGTTATGTACAAAAAGTCTGGTTCAAATTATTTGTTACATATTTGTGCAGAAATGATCGATGTAAAAATACAGTTTTACATCCTGATTAGACATGTTCTGTAATGAGGTTAAAAGCTCATAAATAATTTAAAACTAAAACTGAGGTGTGTCCATGAACAATAAACACGTTAAAAGTAGGACTGGGCGATTTTCCCGATTTTATCGATTAATTCGAATTTATTGTTTTGCCACTATTTTATTTTTTAGAAATCGAGGAATCGCGATTTTGAATAGAAATATTAGCAAATGTTAGAATTAGACACTTCGATAATATGCCGGTGATAACAGTAAAGAGAAACGAATGATCCAACCACATGTCGGCGCACGTGATTAACCGCTCACGTGTGACGCGATCTGTGAATGACCATAAATTTAGCGCTAGGCGTCATTCACACCGCGCTTTTGTTTTGACAAAGATGCGACGTAGGCAGTGGAATAGGTAAAACATGCAAGAAGATGGGAGTAAACTTATTTTAACTTGAGCGCAGTGTTTTTAGAATGGCGTTTCATGCATGAGACACTGCAAGAGACGCGAGCGCAACAGTCAAACACACCCATGTCTACACAGAAAAAACAATGGAAAAGCAGCGCGATCGAATAAAAAACCTGTAAAGAACTACTACTGTATGTCTGATATTTCATGTTTGCATCATGGTGACAGGCTGAAAGCTGCTGTTGTTTTTACAGAACATTTATAGTTATTAAAAGTCTATTGGTGTTATACCTTCAGTCATTTTGAATTTGAATTACCCTGACTTTTGAAAAATGTTAAAAGCATTTTCCTCGTATTATTTCTGAACACATAATATGTATAAGACAAGTTTGTACAATATGTACTTGTAGTTTATGCATCTTTTCTGCAAAGATATTTAACAAGGGATTTGTTTAACATTTACATCATGTTGACAACTTCATGTGTGCTGCACTTGGAATTGAATTTTCTTTAACTAAAGGATTAATAAAGAAAAAGTAACTTGAATCATGTTGTAGTTACATTTTCAAGTTGACTAGTTAAAAATCTTAAAAAATCGAGAATCGGTCAAACATTATGGAAAAAATCGAGATTTTAATTTTTTGTTAAATCGCCCAGCCCTAGTTAAAAGTAGCACTTGTATCTCCCCAATAAACAACAGGGCTTGATGTCATTTCCCTGTTCTCATGAACCAGGCTTGTAAGGGACAATCCCTGTTTAACATACCCTGTGTGTCAGGAGTAACAAGATTATTCTTCTGAGGATAAACAATTATATTTACTCCCACTTTAACAGGAACATGGGCGCAGCATAGTCACGATTAAATGACCATTCATGGATATGGATGAAGAATTACATTAAAAACGACATTGAAAATACTTGAAAAAGGACATGTGACAAAAACATTTATGACTTGTGTGACTGTATCAGGACAATGAACACAGTCTGGACACGATGGCCTACAGCGCACGCGACATGCAAATAAAAGACGGTTAAACATGCAGAAAATCTTTACATAGCCTGCATTTCCCATATCAATACCTCAATAAACTGCGTTCATTCATTTTTTTAAACCTATATGATTATCGAATGGAGATCCAGAACTACATGCTAGACTACGGGCTCGATAGGGTGGAGACCAGCAAGATGACAACATTGTCTCAAGTAATATTCATTTTAAAGCGCAGGGATGGAAGCATAATTACAATGCGCGAAAATAAAACAACTCCCTACACCAACGTGGGGTGAAGGGGGCATGAAATTTATGGGCGTTATGTACACACCCCGGATCAAGCCGACATGCAGCGTTGAATGAAAACACGTGACGGCCTTTTTATTCTCTGGTAAAGTGTTTTTGGTGAATAAATGTAACATACTGAAATGATCAAATGCTCAAAATGTCACATTGATCACTAAACCATACGTTAGCCACAGTACATATAGGCTACACACACCCAGAACAACCCTGCTTTCTTTAACTCAACTGGCAATGAAGCCAAATGTGGATAATTACACGAGCTTATTACAGTTCTACAAACTAACTCCCACCTGGTCAGCAAAATTAATTGACTGATTATGCGGAGCTTTTGTGCACGTGGGAACTGTCCCATTGTCAAATGACTAAGATGAATTCGCCCCCTTTCTTTAACACGCTCCATGTCTTTTTGTCCAGGCAATTTTCTATAAGAACAAACAATAACAGCAGACAGTATAACTAAGCTAGTTTGTTTAGAATGGGATCTTCCAGGCCTTTCCTAATGTAAACCCACTTTTACAACAGAACGCCGCACAAGTTAAAGCCTATGTATGAGTATCAGACAGAAAGATGAGATAATAGTAGCCACTTACCTACCCAGCGGCGAAGAGCTCTTCAATTCTTTTATGTAATGAAAACAGCCGATAATTATTTATAAGAATGTTAAAGGTAAATATCCCACGTCCCTGGTGCTGAACACTGCGGTATGTATACCAAAAAGGCAAATTATTCATTTGCCCGATATAATTCTACCAGTCTTCTATTGACACATTTCGGGTTCCTCTCCCATTCTCTCTCCCGGAGAACGGAGGTTGCTGCGCGTTCCTCGCGTCCCGTTTCCTGCCCTGCCCAGATTCAGCGCTCGACCAATCAGCCGATCAGAAGGAGGCGCGTGGATCTCCTCCTTTCTCCACACGAGAACAGCAGCAGGCCGCTACTAGTGCAAGGACAACAGGCAGCACATGTGCATCTTGTGTTATGGCACTCAACTATAGGCAGTTAGAATAATAAAGTCCCATCTGTTTTTAGACCCGTTTTGGATTATAGACGCAGTCCCGATTTCTACTGTGAAAGTTTAGTAACTGTGTAAAGTGTTAAATATATTTGAGTTAATTTCAATTAATAATTGTATATATTTTTTTCTTAGTCACATTAGTGTAGAAAAGATTGGTTTCATAAACCGTGCGAACTCCAAAGTGAAAGGTAGTTGTTTGTTTTCGAGAACGAAGCAACACATTTTGAGAAAGTGTAGTTACGTTCTCCCCCCAGCGGACAAAACCATAAATGCAACTGTCGTGCTTTGTTTATTATAAAAGGTGTATTCTTTGGCACTTTAACCGTCTAAAAGCCCGAAATATAAAATAGTTTTTTTTTAAACGGAACAGTTTATCGAACATTTAGGCAAAATCGAATGAATGCATGAATGGATGAATGAATAAAGTTCGCATATGTGATATGTTGAGTATCATAGTGATACATCAGGCCTTTATGGCTCATATAGTTTGATATATTGAGAATATAGAGCTCAGACTCGAGGAAGAAAAAACACCTCAGTTTTATACCGAGGCCCAAACTGAGCAAAAAAATATACAATTTGGTGCAGATGCTGATATTTATATTATGAAATTGTAAATCAATGAGATCTTTATAACAGTATAACAGACTTATAAAAATCAGTTGTCACTCTATATCTCCCAATAATGTCTTAGCAAGATGACATTTAAATGCAAAGTTAAGCTCTCTCGTTTCAAATTAGTATAATACAATGATGATTGAAAGATGAACAAATAAACATTTCTCAAAACCTGATGATAATTTTTAATAGATTTAGTTTTACAGTTAAAATAAAAGGCTTTTACGTGCTAAGAAAGTATGAACTATCAATCAGTTGACAGAAGGCCTGTAGTAGATTGTGTGCAACAGGTTTTTCAGCAATGTTTTGAATCATGTTGATCATTTAGAAATGAATGCATCAAATATGATACTATAGGCTTTATGGTGTTAAAGCAAACACTAAGCTTTTAACAAGTTAATAATAAATTAATAAGAATAAAATGATAATATAACAACAAGTAAAAATGTAAAATAAACAAAAGTAATAATAACAAAAGTAATAACAATTATTTTAAAATTATCATTAAATGGTTTTTCCTAATTAATTATATAAACAAAGTAATATATGAATATAATTAATTAACATTAATTATATTATTTATACAATTTTAAATTAAATATAATTTTTTTATTTGTTTTTTTGTTACTTTATTATTATTTATTTACTTTTTAAATAATTTATTATTATGATTTGGTTAGGGTTTGGAGTAAAACAAGTTTTTTTAGTTGTACACACACTATTTTATGCACACAACATTATGTACACACACCGATCAGGCATAACATTATGACCACTGACAGGTGAAGTGAATAACACTGATTATCACTTCATCACAGCACCTGTTAGTGGGTGGGATATATTAGGCAGCAAGTGAACATTTTGGCTGCGTCCGAAACTGCTTACTCAATGAGTAGGTACTTAATTTCAATAAGCACTTACTTAACGAGCGCTAAAAAAGTAGGTACTCTTTTATTTTTTTATTATTTTATTTTTTTATTAAAGGAACAATAACACACAATATGTTATCAAGAAAACAACATTAAAATAAGAAAATAAAAAGATAGAAGGACAAATTACAACAAACAAAAAACAGTTGCCAGGGGGAGGAAAGTATAAAACTTCAAAACAAAAATAGAAGATATACATACATACATACACTTGTACATATATATAAAATAAAATAAATATATTGTAAAGTTCACAAACTTTCAAAGTTCTTACAGCTTTCTTATTCACAGAGTCTCTGATACTGTCAATTGTAATGAGACGTCAACAGAGTGAGGATCCATCTGCAGCTTTATTGAAATCGTAATCAAACAGGCAAGGTCAGACACCAGCAAACACAACAGAGGAGAGAAGCCAAATCGTAGTCAGAGATGTGCAAAAGGGTCGGGTGGGGCTTAAGTCGAATTTGTCTGGAAGAGCCAGGCGAGGATTAATCTAGGGAGTGGAAGAGAATGACGTGTCCATGCTCGGCTGATTAAGCGCTGATTCCGGAGACGAAAGGTGCATACTCCGCAGCGCGTTAACAAGCTCCTTAGATAGTGTTGTCAGTCGAGCCAGCTGGTGTTGATGAGCAGCGAGTTGATTTGCCTGAGCTGATACTTCCGTAGTCAGTTGAGCCAGAGCTGCTGGCTTACCAATATAAGATTTACTAACATCAAAAGACACTGAATTGGGAGAATGGCCTATATCAATACCTTTAAATAGCATGCGAGTACCTGAAGGGATTGAACCAATAACAATAAAGAATGTTTCTATTATTCCAGATGAAATAGCGTTGCGGAGAAAACTTATGCTTATATATTAATGACCAAGATAGGAGCACTTGTTTGTGGAAGGCAGATAAGTTAGCTGGAATTTTATCTATATTATAATTACACATCAAACAAAACTAAGACCACCAATATTTGAAAAAAACATAATGAGGGATAAAATTCCAGACAGGAGTGGGGTTTTTTAAGTGATCCTTAATCCAATTAATCTTAAAGGTGTGGTTCATAGTGGTGAAATCTAAGAAATGAAGGCCACCGTGCTCATATGTATTCATAATCACAGTCTTTTTAACATAGTGTGTTCGATTTCTCCATAGGAAATCAAATAGCATCTTATCAATATTTTTACTAGTATGGTTATCAAGATACAAAGATAAAGAGGCATATGTCAGTCGGGCTATACCTTCAGCCTTCGTAAGGAGAACTCTTCCCTTTAGGGAGAGATCTCTTTGAAGCCAGAAGTTGAATTTTCTTTTAGTTTTATCAATTATGGGGTTAAAATTGAGAGGACATCTTTTCAGCTGGTCTTTACCAATAATGATTCCTAAGTATGTAACACTATCTTTTACAGGAATGTTACAAATATCTATTAAATCACAGTCTTTAACAGCCATTAGTTCACACTTATGGTTATCAAGATACAAAGATAAGGAGGCATATGTCAGTCGGGCTATACCTTCAGCCTTCATAAGGAGAACTCTTCCCTTTAGGGAGAGATCTCTTTGAAGCCATAAGTTGAATTTTCTTTTAGTTTTATCAATTATGGGGTTAAAATTGAGAGGACATCTTTTCAGCTGGTCTTTACCAATAATGATTCCTAAGTATGTAACACTATCTTTTACAGGAATGTTACAAATATCTATTAAATCACAGTCTTTAACAGCCATAAGTTCACACTTACTAATATTGAGATAGAGACCAGACCAAATCTCGTTAAGTATGAATGAGATCTGGACTTCATCCGCCATGTTGACGTTATCATGTGATCTACGACGTTACAAGCGCAACAACTTAAAAGATACGAGCGGCAGGTTTAATTGATATCTCTGTAAATATTTAGATGTTTATGAAATTTCCTCATTTTGTGGTCTTGTTGAAGAAACAGCTGCCCTTTTATTGTGATTGTAGTA